AACTTTGAACTTAAGAACTGATATACAGGGACTTAGAAAGATTTTTGGAAAGCCAAAATAGCACTGCATTCGAACTTGTGGTCGCTATTTCGTCAGGTTAGAGGCTGATCTAGGCTTGGGTCCAAAAACAAAGCTCGTTGCACACAAACTAAACTATAACTTTTATTAAAGGTCAAACTTCAGAACTAGAACAGAAACCAAAGTTCTATATTGATCAAAGCAGCAACATGAAAAGGTTTAAACTAGAGTTTTAGCTATTTTAAGCATTTTCTTCACATTTTCAAATATAAACCCTAACTAACTTTTGTTCAAGAGTTAAATTAGAGTTGTTTGAACATGAATTCAAGGTTTAGTTGATATCACATGTTTCTACTCAATTAACAAAAGTGTTTTTAAGCAAAGTGGAAATTATCATTTCATGTAACTTTTTTATCCAAAACAACATGCAACTTTTCATGTGACCAGAATATGTTCATGATTAGGTGATGCACATGAAAATACATGATTAAAACTATTCATGCACAATTTGAAATAAAATTTACTTTTAAACAAAAGAGTTTTGTCTTTGCCTTTGAAAAGTTTAAGTTATGTCATATTTGATAGAATTTGACTCCACCTCTGTCATCACTTGCCAGGTGTCAAACTAAAGCTCACAATCATCCTTTGACTTGTTTAGATTAGACTTAATTCACTGCTTAACTTGAAATTGACACCTGGGGGTCACAACCACCCTGGTGGAGCTCGTGGAAGCGGTTGCGGATGCAGCGGAGCCATCGGCCGCGGGTGGTACTGGGGTCCCAGCTAGGGTGCTTGCGAAGGCGGCGCCATCGGTCGCTGGAACCTTGTCGAAAACGTCATCGACGATGAAGGTGGTGGAGGCGGCGGCGACGGCGGCGGTGGTGGCATTGGCGCTTCCAGCGCCTGCAGCCGCGTCGTCGTCTGATCAACTTGATTCGCCACTGCGTCAGCCTTCTGGAGCAAATTGCCGAGCGACTTGTCTGCAGTCGATCTCCACGTCTCCAACCCATCGAGCTTGTCCAACGTCTCGCGCATCATGTTCTGAAATCCGACGAACTGTTTCGTCATCGTCTCGAACTGCGTCGAGAGATCATCCATCGTCTTCGTCATCTCTTGCTGAAACTTGGTCAGCCTCTTCTTTGGCACCAGAGTGGAGCAGAACCCGCAGAGCACCAACTCTGTTTCCCGCCGACCCGGTGAACCTCGGCGCGGACCTACGGGTTCACGAGATCGACGCCGAAGTGACGAACCGAGATCACCAGCCGTCAGGGATTACCACCGTGATCAAGGCAAAGAAACAAAATCGGCCAAGGAACGCGGGTCTTTGATACCAATTGTCAGACTACGGATCAAGTGACGGTGAGCTGAGTGGAATCGAACAGATAGAATCAAGAAATGCTAAGAACAACTAAGAACTGCAGAATGTAACTACTCTGTAACTGAATTGTAACTGAATGTAAACTGAGTTCAGAATACAAAATAGAGTTTCAGATCTTCGATGATCTCCCCCTCGCCCAGACATCGGGTTTTATACCACCATTACAAGGCCATTGGCTCATTCAGCGTGATAACAGGACGACTAAACACAACTGTGGCCCAACAGGTACTTAGCCACTGCTACTCGCTATTGCCGGCGTTGTCGGACCACCAACTGTAGCCGTGCCCCTTCTCCTGACAGTGCACTTGGAGATTATGGTGTTCCACGTGAAGACATGTCTACTATGGCATTTCGTCGAACAACTTCTAAGCATAAGCATGTCCGTGATCTTGGCGTGCAAGATTAGCATTTTCTAAACCTCGATGTGTGGCTCCTAGACGGCCTAGTTAGGGTGGGCACATCACTCTAGGCTCGGCTCGTGCCATGATGGCGGCGACGGAGACAGCCAGGGGCTCCTGCCTTGGTGGCGGTGACGGAGATGGCCAGGGGCTCTTGCTGAGCCTTGGTAGCTTTTGCTGGAGCGCGACTCCGTGCCCGCAGTGGCCTCAGCTGCATCGCACGGCTTGGGGACCTCGAGCCACAGCAGGAGCAGGCGAGTAGTGTATCGGCAGCGAGGCGGAGTTTTTGGCAATGATGCCCATGTTGAAGACTCCGTGCTAGCCGCCGCCGAATTTGACGTCTCGGTGGCCACAAAGGTGGTGCCGTTGTGGGTGGCGATGAGGGGCAGTGGTATCTATGGTACCGTATTGCCCATTGAGTGTGGGCGATGAGGGGCGGCGGCAAGAGAAGGGGTCGGATAGCCCCGGCATGGCTGCTCCCCTACGCGGGCGCGGCTAGCCCTCGGGCGCACGCGACTCCGCTGGCGTGGGCGTGGTGGGCCTTGGCGCACGACGGCTCCACCGGCGCGAGCGGCTGCTGTCGAGCTGTTTGGGGACGTGTAATGTAACGCGTGCGATTGCTGCGCGCCGCCTAGGTGCTCGTGGCTGTGGCCGGGAGAGGAGTGCAGGCAATTGCAGTGGTGGAGGAGGCAGCGGCGGCGTAGCGGCAGGAGACGGAGACGGAGACCGAGGACTCCCGAGAATGGCCATTGGGAAGCGATTGAGGGGGAGGCGGTGGCGTGTGCTCGGGCACGGGACGTGACGAAGACTCCAGAACGCTAGCCGAATGGGGTGCAGGTTTCATACGTGGCCTAATGGGGTGCAAGATAGCATGGAACAACTTGCGTCAAGTAAAAGATTGTATCCTGTAATACAATTCATTTTAAAAAATTTAAGACAACTGAAGACAATACTTGCAGGTACCGCACAAGGTTCGTCACACTTGCTTCTTGCTGCGCTCGATCAAAGAAAGAGAAATCGAACTTGCGCTCGACCAAGAAGAAGTCATGGAGCTAGCTCGAACGATATAAAGATGGAATCAGCTGTGTTAGAAGGCACTTCAACCAAAATAGAGTACCACGGCCGTGTAGTAAGCTTTCGAAGCCTGTATTCTCCCAAATAGCAAATAGAATATTTTTTCTGACCCACATGGTATTTACAATGGATCAAACCCAATTAAAGAGTTCCTCCTCAAATGGCGGTTTTCTTTTTAACAAACTTAGCTAAATCTGAATATAACCACTACATAGAATGTCTTATATTTGAGTACAAATTTTACAAGTCATAATACACGATATTCCAGGATTTAAGTGAGCATCGATTAAAGTTTAAAGTTGTTTATTAACGCCTTAACCAACAAGAAAGTAGTAGTAAATTTGGGTTGCTTCAACTCCAAACTTCATCTTGGATTCCATGTTTGGGACAGACAGACATCTTAGACGTTCGATTTTAGACATATGGGGTTGAATCGATTTGCCTACCCGGCACCCTTAGGCCAGGTCTCCAAGAAGCAACAAAGTCTCCTAGTTCATCCTGATGGAACAAGGAAAATTTGTGCTCCTTGTTTTTAATCGAACTACTCACAGAGAGAGCAGCACGGCTAGCCTTAAATTGCGAGACATGCGTCTTCCCTGCCAACCACCGTGCGCCGTCGGTGCATGCATGTGTGAGAGAGTTCCAGGAATGGTCATGCACGCCCACGACGCAGGGCGTGGCTGCCCATGCGTGCACTGCACCACGACGATGTCGATCAGTCGATCCAGAGCCCTCCTTTGGTTGAGTCGCACGCAGCTCTCTCTGTATAAGTACGGACCTCGCGCGCACCAAGCCTACTCACTCAGTCACTCGGGCAGTCCGTTCCCGTCCCTCTCCGGCCATTCGATCAGAAGCAAGCGAGCGAGTGATCCAGCTGCGGAGACCGAGGCCGGCCATGGGCAAACAGGCGACGGCGACGGTGCTGGCTCTGGTGCTGCTGTGCGTCGTCCTGCTGGCGGCGCCGGCGGCAGACGCGGCGTCGTGCAACCCGTCGGCGCTGAGCGCGTGCGCGGGCGCGCTGTTCGGCGGGGCGGTGACGCCGGGGTGCTGCGCGTCGCTGCGGGCGCAGCAGCCGTGCCTCTGCCAGTACAAGCGCGACCCCGCGTACCGCGGCTACGTCAACGGCCCCGTCGCGCAGAGCGTCACCCGCGCCTGCGGCCTCCCCATGATGAAGTGCTGATGCCTGATCGAGAGCCTGCTCCATCCGTCGCCGCCGGCGACCGCCCTCCGCGCGCCGGATATTATATACGGCTACGTATACTACTGCGAGTCCACGTCAGATCCATGGACGGACAGACATACGTGCGTCTAAATAAACGCGAGCTCTAGCTCGGCTGGTTGTTGCAGCTCGCCATGCTCCGGCAACTCGTAGTCAGCTACCTCGGGAGTGAGGCTATGCATGATGCCGGTGGCTTTGGCTGTTTTCATCATGTTTCTGAGTTATTTTCGTATAAGTAAAATCGCGCTGCCGTGCTGTGTCCAGCGTTTATAAATTTATAAGTTTTATTTATACTAGGCCGGCCTTGGTACTTCTGATTCTACATACACAGAAGCCTCACCCTCCAGATGAATCTACAGGATACATGTTGCTTGTGGAAATGGCACTAGCGAACTCACAACTGAATCGACTGACGATCAAACACAAAGTAAAACGACTGAGAGGTGGCATGATCTGATGATATAAGCTACTGGTTATATATGACTGGGTAATCTGGAAACAGAGGCACAGCACCACAAGCAGTATGGATTTAACACTCCCAGAACATCACACATAACGGGCAGTCATGGCATAAATTGCATTGTTTAAACTAACTGGGTACCAAACCCAAAAGCAGCTAACCAAGACATGTAAAATCAGGATGACCACCAGGTACTACTCGGTCTTTAAGAGCCAACCTATGGGGTGTAAAACTCATGATAACCACCAGAAATACCTAACTACTCAGCCCAAAGGACCTGAACAAGCGATTTGAAACTAAGGATAACCACCAGAAACAGTTAACTAGTCCTGCGAACGGGAATGGAACAGTAGCTTCCACTGCTTTGTCCTCCAAGCCACACTTCTGGATGCAACTAGTATGTACACCATAAACCTATAACTCGGATCAAACAGAGCGCCTTGATATGTAAGATCACTTTGCAACAGAAGTCCCCGCTGACTTCTCATCACCAGGCAGGCCCTGCGATAAATAAGCCGGTCAGGAAAGGTTGTCCAATAGGTGTCATGATTCATGAATGTATCTCCAGCAACAATACATGTATGCAGAAGTACAGTATATTGAAGGAATCGCACATACCAGGTCGTTTTGAAGCAAATTGATCACTGAGAACTTTGGCAGCAAAGATTTCACATCAGAAGTTGCTGGCTTCTCATTCTGCAGATCTTGACTCATCTTGCTGCTACTCTCAGACACCTCAGCATTGTGGTAATCAGCACCAGGTACACCCTGGCGATGAATAGGTCAATCAATGAGCAGAACTGTATGTTGCACAAAAAACCTAGTCCAAAGGCTCACAGCTCATCTTTGCAAATGCTTAACTTACAAAGAACTGGGATGGATGGATAGATAGAGGGGTGCTGGCAAGGTTGGGCGGCGAAAGAGAGTTTAAAATACCTGGCCATTATGAAGGTCATTGGTAGCCTCAGCATCATCATGAAGCATATCTTGCAAGTTCAGCTCATGAAGCATATCAACAGTCAGATTTATGTCAAAATCATTTGCCTTGAGTAACTCATCAATGAAATCTGTGGAGACATTTGGGAACATTGAAAAGACCATGTTGGCTAGAGCAAGTTCATCAATGTCATTTTCCTCATGCTGCGAAGGATCAAAACTGCTACCAGAAGCCTCTCCCTTTGATGATGACCCTGCAGAAATGATAAGACCTGCTGAGCTCTCAGTGTATTCATATGAATAAAGCAAATCTGAGAGTTCAAAACCTACAGAACCACTAGAAAAATCTTTAGTCTCACCTCCTTGTTTTTCTGGGGCTTTGTGTGCAAATGAACCCAGCGATCCAGGTATGAAAGGGCTGGCGTTTGGATTCAACTGGAACGATCCTTCCATGGTTCTTTGACCAACAAATCTGTAAATGTGCAAAGACAAAATTCAGCGCAAATATATATGTGCAATTTACAACAGCAAACAAGAGAATTCACAGAGTAGCCATGCATAACTTATATCAAGAGACAGTAATATGGTCCAAAGTGCCAATTCAAAGCAATAAAGTTTGAAACTGAGCAGAAGGGATAATATTAAAATTCGAAGTAGATCAACTGTGTTAGTACATATTCCGATCTCATGTGCTATGTGCATCACAAAATTAATCTTCTTGCGCTAGAGTAATCCAGAATACAATACTTCTGGAAGAGTAAATTTCCAAATGTAGGAGAATTTTTAAAACAACAATTAGTCTGCTAAATTTAGAATGTTGCTGACAACAATACTGACTACAGAATGCAAATGACAAAACCGGCAATATGCTCAAGTGACAACTAGCGAATGGATGCAAGTAGTTGCTATCAATCAGAATATTATTGATGGGTGCTTCAGCTATATGGTAAAATATAAAACGCTGACTTTGCTTCAATATCATCATACATGATTACATGATAAACATGTGGATAGATTTTTCTTCTTCAAACATAGAGAAGGATATTCCAAAGAAGGCAGTGAAATAAAAGCATAACTATTTCACTTTTTTTATTGAGACTAGAATGCTCCAATCTGGCGCACTACCATTAATCAGAAACAGTAATATTCGATTACATGCAGATAACATCCTAATTTTCATAAAGAACAATTAAGGAACTGTTATGCCCATCATTCCCTTCTAGAGAATTGAAAAGTGATCACAGATGAAGTAATGGAATATTTGACTAGTGACCCAAGATATCAAATGAGTTCATTAAAAAATCGAATAAAGGAGGACGCAGGCTCCTAGACAGAAACAGTGGTTAGCTTATCGCATTCGAGTTCTAGAACTAAATCCCAGAAGTAATGGACCAATTCTCTAAAATTAGGAATAGTAACTATCCAAAAGATACAGTCACTGGCTTAATTGCTAGTAAAGATCTAACAACTTACATCGAATGGGGTGATTTTAAAAAAACAGCAAATATTTGTGTAGTCCTAAAAGATTTATAACCGAAACAACGCTGAATAATTAAATTAATCAGATTCAAGACAAGATGCCATACTAGAGTAGAGCCAAAATGACAACCTACCAATAAATCAAATGGGGTGATTTAATACGATTTAGAAGAACAGAAGCAAGTAATAGTATAATCCCACAAGCTTTCTAACCAAATAACAAAGAATAATCGAAGTAGTTAGATTCAATAAGCCGTACTGGACCAGAACCAAAATTACAACCTAGCAATACATCAATGTGCGACATCAGGCCCATAGTAATGCCAATAACAGGCAAAAATCACTGTAGCCCTTGCTACTACAAATCCTTATCTACTGCATCTAATCACCGCACAAATTCTGACTGCAAATCAGAAGCGCTGTGGCCAAAGCAGCAGCAACACTACTCAGTAAAACCTGTAGAAATCAAGCAGCCTCAGCTGCTGCAGCTGTGGTAGAAGCGCAGCCGAGCAGAGCCTCTAATAGTCTATTTGATCTCCACAAGCTACCAGGTCTTCCATCCCGATCCCGTGTACAAGACAAAGCAGCACCTCAAGACTAATACAGAATCCGGATCAGACCCATGAGTAACAAACGAACATCATCACAGTAAAAAAAAAAAAACAGAGAACACGCATCAGCATTCCCGTCTTCCCAGCACGAGCACCCACGCGACCAACCGAACTGGCTCTACAGACCCCTACCCGATCCCAGCCGCAAGGCCCACCAGAACAAGCAGGGAGAGCAAGCGGCGCTATCCCAACTTCCCAAGTTCGCAACGGACCCCTACCCGATCCACACCGCGAAGCGCACCAGAACACAGCAGGGGGGAGCAAGCGGCCGATCAAAACCCCCCACGACGAAGCAGTGGACCAGATCGGCACCACGATCGCCACAACTCGACACGACTGGCGGCCGAACAGATCGACCTACGCCTAGACCTAGCCCACACACACCCTAGAACAGATCGAACGGACAGATACATGCAGCCCGGAGCGCAATCGAGTTGGGAAGGTTTACCTCGGGACGATCGGCGGGGGCGATGCGGTGCGGAGGTCGCCGGCGTCGGGCGTCGCGGTCGGGAGGGTGGTGGTGTGAAGTGGGAAGGCTGTGGGGGTGGACTGGGGGAAGAAAGCGAAAAGTGTGACGGGGAAGGGAAACGGCACGGGCGCACAGTAGTGGCGTGAATGCGTGATGGAGAAGGCTTAGGCCCATTCCTCCTAGTAGGATTTCCGGCCTTAGGCCCATGGGCCTATTACGTGGTGGAGAACTTTTTTGGGCTAGGCTAGGACGGGCTAGGCCAATTACTCTTGGTATAGGATTTCCGGCCTTGAAATTTGGGCTTCAACTAAGATTAGGCCCAGCCTAAATTCCTAATATCGTTCTCCTTTTTTGCGAATCCTGCAGGACAAAGCAACGTCATAAAATGTATCTCCACCGTAAAATCAATGGATAACTGGTATCGAACGGTTGTCGTTGCCTCAGCAAGAGCGCTTCTAGAAAAATTAACGCGTATGTGTTTGAGAAATCCAAGGATATAATCCAATATCCCTCTTCTATGAGCTTATTGGGATTTAGGATGGGAAAAGACAATTTTGCCCTCCTTCAATCTTATCTATAAACCATTTGAAACGGTATTTTATACATTTAGCCAGTATAACTGATAGCCCTAAAAATAGTACCAAGCTATAATAGAACCGTCCGAAATAACATATTTTCGGAGCCGCTCATCTTCCACTAGACACTAAGCACCTCGAAAGTGAGCTACATCGGTCAGTTCCGTCGAGCACACCCAAGAAAAAACTTGAAACAATCCACGTTTTACATCCAGAATCCAATAATAAGTACGAGCTTACAATAATAAGTTCATTTCATACAACAAGAGTTCTTGTAATTATTTATTACAATACCAGAGTTCAGAGTGCGATAATTAAATAGCAGAATAAAAATAAATATCTAGCGGAAACGATACAAGGATCCGTTTGTGCCCATCAAAAGAATTCTCCACATAAGATCTACTCCTCAAGCTGCACCTGCAACAGGGGTAAAATAACCCTGAGTACATAATGTGCTCGCAAGACTTAACCGATTAGTGGGAATAGTTTCTCGACTCTCAAGGATATGATAGGCGATATAAGTTTGTTGTTTTTTTTATTTGCGGAAAGCATTACTAATAGTTCATCCTTACAGTCAAGTTTTATTAGTAGCTATGATTACTTCATTAGCTAACCATTCTAGGTAAGCACATGTTCTACTTTCAAGTAAGGGTTAAGTAATTAGAATCATTTCACCATCTTTCATCTTTTAGTTCTTACTATGGTACTAGACTATAGCCAAGTCGTACCGTCTCACGAAAACGGCGATTCGCGAACCAATGTATCCCAACTTGGTACCCTGAAACACACGTCCCATTTGTACCCCAGGCACAAACAAGATCAACCCATTTCACTCCTGTCATGGGGTCTAGGTCCCCGTCCAAACTTGGAGTCCAAGCCCCCACACTTGAGACCCGGTCTTAACATGGTGCTTAGACCTCCACATTTTCCCGCCTCCAATCAGTTTGTCCGAAAAGAGCCAGAACCCATGACAAGAGCGTAACGAGCCTTCCCGCTCCCATAAGTAAGTATGTGCTCAGAATAATAAGTCTGTGACCTGACTACCATCCACAGCAACGGACGGTTCTTAATTGATACGAACAGGAAAAACAGTGTAACCAAGCTAAGCTCCGTTGGCTGTGGAACACAACCTGTTATATCCACCAATATTCATACCATATCCCTACCATGTCTTCATTTTTTCTTTTATCTTTTTATTATGAGAGTAATAATAATCCTCTATTATGAGCAACGACAGGTTACTCACGCTACCGATGACTTAAGCATAGCATCTACTCGAACCTGCACTAGTAAGACTCTTAGGACAGGTATATCTATGCAAGTAGTTTCCATAAAATTCATGTAACGTAAATGCACAACACACATATATATGATGAATTTTAAAAAAGAGGTTACGCACCGGGGCTTGCCTAGGGTAGGTGCGGTGTCAGCTAAGTCAGTCAGTGGCGGCTTCGGGGCCTCCTCATGCACGAGAATCTCCTCCTCGTACTCCTTGACGATCTCCTCGAACTCGTGATCGCCGGTGGTCACGATCTCCATCAACTTGTTCTCTACATGCATGCGATGATGATGCCACTTAGCATTTAGGCAACAACAACTCTTAAAATAAGAATACGCATACAAAGCTATTAAGATAGCTCTAATGACTAAGATACTAAGCTAACTATTATTTTCATCAAGCAAAGTGTTGGGTTCAACTAACAAACCTTTAGCTTGACAATTTAAGGATATATCTTTATTTCTACTATTGATTTTATGTATATTGAAACAAAGAACATTTAACTACCTAATGCTTAGTCTATTCTAAAGCTATAAAAATTACAGTGAGCATATAATAATACAATGAAACTGCTGCAAAAATTTCATGATAAAAAATAGCATTAATTCACCATAAAAATTCCTACAATAATTAATTTAATATTATGAAGCACTTTCAAATGATTTAATAGCTCCTAATGTCAACACATATAAACATTAACTAAAGACACCAACAAATTGATCACAATTTTAGGAACCTAAAAAAATTATTTTATAATTTTTGGACACCTACACGAATTTATATTAATTATCAAAGATTAGCTCAGAATTAAATTATAAAACCATTCACAAATTCCAAGAAAAAGAAAAACCAATCTCCCGCGTGGCCCACAGGCGTAGCGCGCGCAGCGGCCCGCTTCCGTGGCCCACGTGAGGCCGACCCACGATAGGGAAGCCGACACGCTGGTGTTTTTGCAAAAGAGTCCCTGATTTTCTTTGAATCACACCTAAGCCCCAATACTATTTTCCCCTCTCAAATCTTCTCACTTACCCCCTGACTTT